GATAACCATATAGGCCATTGCCCTTAGGTTGGAGGCCATCTCTATGATAACACCGTTCCTTTTGATGTGTAAAACATTACAGTATCTGTTTTTCATTGTTGTGTATTTTGTTTTTTTTTGCTGAAGCCATGTATAACCCAAACGACCTCCAAAGCCACGTACATCCACCCGCTCTTCGCTTCGCAGCCCGCTCACCGGACCTGCGTGGGCGTCGGCAGCTGTGGCGCTGGCTTCGGCTCTGGCGCCGGTAGCTCCGGCAGCGGCAGCCCGGGCAGCGGAAGCCTCGGGGTCGGTTGGGACCGGAAGGGAAGCCGGTGAGACGGGTGAGATGCACTATATGAGCTGATATGAAGCCATATGCAGACACAGAGCTGAATATGATAGATCGAAGCACTTCTTTGTTGCAGGTGTATTCAGCACTTGAAAGCTTCTTCGTGATGTTGTGTCATTGTGTCATCATACTGTACCGTTCCTTTTAGATCCTCTGCGAAGGGATATGCAGATATGCGTATGGGATCGTTGACTTGGCTAGAATCTTTGCTTGGGCACCAAGAAGTAAACTCCAGCATCTACTGAGTGTACGGTAAGCAAGCTACATCAAGTATACTATGGAACTTTTACAGTCCGGGCCCTGACTGCAAACAGGTGTTTGTCCAGTTTTTAGGCTTTGCCATGGTTTGCCATTTGCTCACTTCAACATGAGATTGGACACCCTTTACTGGCTTGTTGCAGTGGGACATCTACTCGGCCAAGTGAGTGGACTCTATGTTATTGCTCATTCCTGGTCTGCAGAAGGCACATCTTGGATGCTTGGGGAGTAATTTAGGACATAAAACAGGAACTGCAACAAGCCCGCTGATCTTCATTCACATCCTGTGACAATCACAAGTTAGCAGCATGATAAAGAGAAGGAAGTCTAGAATTAGAAGGAAGTGCACAACATTCACAAAGCTTCCGATCCAAACTTTGGTTGAACAGAAAACAATTAACTAACCATTTAACAACCATTAAAAAAGCTCTTTTGTTGAACAACCTCTTGCCACCGCAAGTCCGATGACAAGAACCCGACAGAGTATGCGGGCACTTCGGTCAACGACAGTCGCTCGTCTTGATCCGCCGTCCGAGGCTCCCCGGTAGCCCTGCCGGCAACGTTGGCAGCGGCAGGCCGCCCGGCAGCGTGGCCGGAAGCCCTGGAGGGAGCCCTGCAGGGAGTCCTGGAGGGAGTCCTGCAGGGAGTCCTGGAGGGAGTCCTGGAGGGAGTCCTGGCAGCCCAGGCAGCCCAGGCAATCCAGGTAGAAGCCCTGGCGGCAGGCGGCACATGATGGCACATGGTGGCACACCTTTGTCTTGTTGTGGTGATGTCATCTGCTGTCGTTTGATGTCATTGGATCATGTCTTGACCTGGAAAGAGGACAAATGCCATCACTCCCGGCACTTTCAAGCGAGAAGCGCCTGGCAATGATAGCCCTCCCGGCAGCATCGGAAGTGGCAGCAAGGGCAAAGGAAGGACGCCCGGTACACCTGGAACACTCGGAAGCCCCGTCGCCGTTGCAGCGGCTGCAGCAGCACCTGGCATGTCTCCCTTGGTGTGTCTGTCGGCTTGCAGTTTGCGGCGACACCAGTGAAGACGTTTCTCTTTGGGGAAGAGAAAGGAGCCCCAAGCCCAGTTATGGCCTTTCTTGGGGGGCGCCCTAGATGAAAGGCCTGAATTTCAGTGAACTTTGACCATGTCAAATCTTCAAGTCAGTTGCCGTACTGGAGCGATGCCGACATGTTTAAAAGTTTGGCATTGCTTGCCAGTCGGCCACCAGTGACGTCACTGCGTTCTCATTTCTCCTTCCGATGCCAACCAGTTACGGCAGCCTTTGAACCGACTACACAAACGCACGACAGTCGTTGGCATTCAAACTAACCACAGTCTTTCATGAATTTCAACTGCCGAGGATGGGAGGACACAAACAAAAACACCAATAATGGCTGTGTTTTTGTTTCAGCAGGCTGACTCATCAGGCTAACTCATCAGTGATGATCTCTTATGGTCCAACAGTATTTAGAACAAGCCAAGAGTATCCCACTTAGCAGGACTCACATAGCCACATATGAGTTTGAAGTTTGAATGACCTCTGTTACCGAACCTGATGCAGGTCCGTCTATCCGAGAATCCGATCCAAGATTTGCTGGATCCACCAGATTTCACAAACGTGACTCTAGGGTCAAATGGCACCCCATCTGTTTCTCCTACCTTTCAGCAGCCCTAGCACTCAACTGTGTACCACAATTACTATAAAGTGCTTGCTTTAATGTTCGATTCAATTCTCCAGTTCATGAAGCGAACTCCGCTTCGACTGCTCCGCCTAGACCGGGCAACACCTGGAGGTCGAAGGCCTCGGTAGAGGGACTTCAGAACTCGCTCGGCCACCCGGAGCTTCTTGTTACTGCTAGTAAGGCACTTGTTACTAGTAGCGATGCCCTTGTTACTACTCGCAAGGATGTTACACTCTGACCGTGTAACATGGAATTGGAACCACTCGGCCGCGGGAAGAGCAGTTTGCTCTACGAACAGACTCTTTTCCACGTGCATAGGAGTGTAAGTGGGAGTGTAAGGAGATGGTGAGTGAAGACTTCAGAACTGCAGTATATACCGGATCCACCGCGGTCCACGGCCACCTTACTGGTGCCAGGTGATAGACCCTCCTGGCACCTACTTACATCGATCACATCACCTGAAATCATAGACTGCAGTTCTCAATCTTGGAGCAAATGATGTGTGGATTGCTCATGATTGCTCTGTATGTTCTTTTCACACATCTTCCCCACGTCTAGACTCATCCCTTTTCCATTTTGTGCGACTGAACGTGTCATTGAAACGACGGTCTTGAGGCACATTTGGCAAATGGAATTGAATGGAAGCGTTGCTACCAACCAGGACTGCCTAAAAAAGAATGTACACGAAAGACTGCATCCAGTGGGCAAACCCGCGGGTTTCGTATATCCCTGCTAACCTGAGGGTTTCTCTGCAAGCTCGGAGACGAGCAAAGGGAACGAACACACGAACAAGTCTATCTCTGACCTCAACAGAAAACACAAAAGACCTTTAAAGACTCTAGACTCTAGACCTTTAACAGCGGCACTTCATGGAAGAAGTCACTTCACCTTTGCCTCTGGTTCCTGGCTTGCCATGAGCACACGCTCACACAAACCAAAAAACTGGATCCTGCCCCTCTTTTTGCAGCCGTGGCCACAGGTCTTTCAAAACTTCTTCTTCAAATCCACTCGGCGAGGAGAGGGAGAAGCCAAGAACTCGATCGAACACCAGTCCCGCAAACCTCTCCAACACCTCCGACTCGCATGGACGTTGACAATCCCTCCAACAATCCCCCTGGATGACTCGTTTCCTTTGACAGAACAGTTGGGTTAAACCACTTCCATGTTCGTGAGTCGGACGCACACACACACATACACACATGCACACACAGTGACTCAGTGTCACGAAGGTCCTTCCACCCCCCAATCCGGTGGTTGCTCTATTTGGGACGCCCGCAGTTTCAGACGGTCCCCCCGTCTGCAAACGTGCCTGAGGTTTGTTGTCATCGTTGATCGTCACGGCAAAGGAGACCTAGAGAGGTGTCTTGGATGCCACTCCCAACGGTCAACCCTTTCGTCTGACCCACGATGATTCACACAAAGAAAACACATGTTATAAAGATCTTTACCCTCAAAATACCTCGTCAACACCACAGAAAAAATCACAAGCAAGCTTATAAGGTTGCAGGATGCAGCTTCCAGCTTTTCACCAGTCGACCAACCACATTTAGTTGAATTTCATGGCTTAAATCCAGTCTGTCAACCATCTTGCAGCACGAAAAATGTTGAACAATTTCATGTAATTTCACGCGTCAAGTCGGCCTACAGCCCGAACATGTCACAAAAACACCAGTGGAGGCCATCGCTACTAGGTTGGAGGCCATCACTACTAGGTTGGAGGCTATCAATACTAGGTTGGAGGCCATCGCTATTAGGTTGGAGGCCATCAATACTA